TATATATATAATGCAAAGTTACCATTTTGCCCCTTTAAAATTAATAAAAACAGTAAAAAAAAAAAAAAAAATTGGGTGGCCATGGTAAAATTAAGTGGTCATGGTAAAACGTTATATAAAACTGGATGGCTTTGGTAAAATAAAATCAAATTTGGTGGCTTGGTGACACTAAATATAAAGTTAGGTGGTCATGGTGAAATAAAATCAAATTGAGTGGTCATGGTGACACCAAGTATAAAGTTGGGTGATCATTGATAGATTTAACCATATTCCAACCATCAAAATTTCAAATAATGGGGGATAAATGGGGCTTAATTACAATTATAATTATGTTCAAAATATTTCAAAGTAATTACGATTGACTCCAAAGCTTTTTAGAGTTACCATGAAAACATGTTTGGTCATATATTTTTCAAGCTTCTAGTGGATTCTAGACCATCAAAACTAATTATTAATCTTTATTTTTTTTACTAAAAGCAAAAAGCTGCATTCATTGAATATTTAAAATCACATAAACTAAAATATTTGTATTATTTTCCTTTTATCTACATGTTTCATCCCATTCAAGATCTAATAATTAGATACTGATATAAGTCACAACTTTATCCTTCAAATTATTTTTACTAATTTAAGTTTCATTTTCTTCATCAGCCATGTGAACAAGTCATGGATGTCGAAGTTTAGGTATCACTAAATATTGAGCTCAAATTTATAATTGTTCAATAGAAAATACTTTAAGTAGTTATTCAACCCCTTTTTCAGATAGACAGTTCTCAAAATGAATTCGTATTATTTGCTCATTCTCATATTTTCAACTCACCTATATATATGATCAATCAAAATGATGTCATGCATTGGTGAATCAAATAATCATTAACTTCATGAGAATATATAAACAATTTTGTCTAGAATTTAGATTATAAACCGGACTATCAAGTGGAATTTATGTTCCACATGATCATGCTATAAAATTGAACTAGACATGTGGTCTATTAATTACACTCCAAGTGTACTAGTATTATCATTCAATTAATTCTATTATAAGTACAAATCACAAACTCTCGAATACCAAAATAATTAACACTATAATCTTCAAGTACAATATGTCAATCATTGTACATTGATTATGAATAATTTTATTTATTACAACAAAAGTATACTGTACGGACATACTACCCAACATATATGTAGATATATAAATGTATATATACTTCTTCACGTGGACGTTGAATTCATTATTTTCATCGAACACCTAGCGTGTATAATTTTCATAAAATTGGTGACACTATGATTTGAACCGCGAGAGTTTGTGTGGTGTATATCAAGCTGAACTCGTCTAAAACATAACATTTACTTTTAATGGCTTACAAGTTACAATAAGCACTTCAAATTTATGTTTTAGAATCTTATGGGTGATATTAAGTAGCTTATAAGTACTGGAATGAATTATTTAAATTAATCGTAAATGCAGGTAACCAGATTCATCTGTGGTGGATTTGCTTTGGGAATTCGATTCAACCACACTATGGCAGATGCTTGTGGGATGACGCAATTTCTAAATGCTATATCTGAATTAGAGAAAGGTGCATCTGCACCTTCTATTCTACCTGTATGGCAAAGAGAACAATATTTTAATGCAAGATCTCCCCCAAGAATTACATGCATACACCATGAATATGAACAAAGACCACAATCCACATACTTTATGGATTCGGACAAGCTAATTCGGATTGCAGTTTTCTTTACTTCTAAGGATATACAAGCACTTTATAATCATCTATCCTCGTTAGGAAATTTTCGTAGGTGTTCAAGATTTGATTTGATAGTAGCATGCTTATGGAAATGTCGTACGAACGCACTGAATCCATCTGATCCAGACGAGACTGTTCGTCTTTCAATCTTTACCAATGTACGTGGCAAGACAGGCCTGAATATACCGACTGGTTACTACGGCAATGCTTTCGTTTATCCAGCAGCAGTATCCACAGTTAGAATTTTATGCACTGCTCCATTGTCATATGCAGTTCAGTTAATTCAAAATGCAAAGGCTCAAATGAGTGAAGAGTACATTAAATCAGTGGCAGATCTTATGGTGATCAAGAAACGACCCAAATACGCAACAGGTTGTAATTTCTTTGTTTCAAACATAACTCGTATAGGTTTTGAAAATGTTGATTTGGGATGGGGGAATGCAGTGTATGGTGGAGTTGCTTCGGCCACTTCAGATATGAGTTTTTGTACGAATTTCAAGAACAGTATGGGAGAATATGGAGTTGTGGTACCAATATGCTTGCCACCATTGGCTGTGGAAAAATTCAAATATGAGCTAGAAAAGATGACTTGTGAACCACTCTGCAGAATGTAATTTTCATGTGAAGTTTGAATAATATTATTCACCTATGTAGAAATAAATAATCTTGTTAAGGAGAATGAGTTCAGTAATTTGGTCATGTTTATTGTGTTGTAATTTTTGTTTTCGAATACAGTTCAATATTAGGGTTAAACTCGACTTACCAAATATTATATAAAAAATGTTTTTTTATAATTTTGTTTACTTTCGGCTTTATAGATGATGTTATGGACCTCAAGAATAGTAATCTTCAAGTTTGCTTAGCTTAAGTTTGGTACAAATTGTTTAAAACTCATTTTTTCGAAACTTATTTCAATCATATATTCTCTCAATAAAATAATATTTTATATGAACCATAACTTTCCCTACTTTTTAATTATATAATCTTCAAAGATATCACTTTTCATAAAACATATTCTAAAAAAATGTACATCAAACACAATGTGTTATTATTTTACTTGCTAGTATTGTTAAATTTATTTTTATTTTTATTATGTTATTTTATCAATATTCAAATACAATGTGTGTGTGTGTATATATATATATATATATATATATATGTGTGTGTGTGTGTGTGTGTGTATATGTGTGTGTACCCATCTATTCTTCCAAATTATTCGAATTATGAATTCATCGTTAATATTATA